TTGAAGCCAATCGGAGTCGATTTACAGGTACCTCCTATACAAAAATATCAATTTTTTGAGGTTTTTCTTAGGGCAAGTACCCCAGGATCAAATTGAAAATGGCTCATCTTCGAACTTAAACTAAGTTTATTGAATACAAAACTTTTGGGACTTTCAGATTTGGATTATCTCAATTATTATTTGAGTTATCGTGTTAACAAACAGCTACGACGACAACGACGACAACGACGACGGCACACGAACGGAAAAGTGTCTCAAAAAGTGGTTTTCTATGCGTTTCATGAGTTTTTATGATGATCTAAGCTAATTTTGCGAAAAAAGTGTTCGGGACCAATTCCTATACTTTCCCTTGACACGTTGTGTACGGAAAAGTAAAAATTCACCAAGTGAAAAAAAATACTTTTAGTCATTTTTAAAGTCTTTCAAAAACATTAGACAGAACTGAAATAGTTTTTCCCGGCAAAATCACAATTAGTTTGAACAAGTTTCGTCCTATCTCGGCAACGGCTTGACGTGGACTAAGAATATTAATGTTAAAATCGAAGAGGATACACTGGCCTGACTTGCAATTTTGTTTGTAGCAACAATACTGAAATCTGGCTCTTGTTTGTTTGTCACACGATTTGATATTGTTCGAAGTCCAAGTTAGACTAGCCGGTTCCCATTTAACCAACGCATTGTATAGAAATCCGACTTATTGCGACTTTTTAAAAACGTTTCCCAAATGGTTCAACTGTGCGAAGAAATAAACGGTTTGACATTGTTCGCTAAAACATGCCGATTCCTATTGAATTATTTACTACAATTGTTTTGAGACGCATGTGCAGCGAAAAATGTATGCAAAGAGAAGAATAGATAATAGAGAGTGATTGAAATATTCATGCACACACAATATTTATAAGGCATTAAGAGCCATTAAGAGCGATTAATGAATACAGTTGAAGTTTTCAATTTTTTTCCAACAGTTGTCACCGAATTTAAATAATTCAGGTTTGTGGTGGAAAAAAGCAATAATAATACATTTCGTTTGACTCAATTGACACCCATAGAATGAAAGAACAACTTATGAGCTCTTTATCCATAACTGAGACGGGAAAAAAACTTAGAGCAAAAAAGAGACAAATAAAGTTGCGAGCAAAAGTGACACAACTCAGAATTGAGCGGAAAAGACGGTTTTTTCCGCATTTTTCTCGCTACCGGAAAGAGATAGCGACTAGATGTCTTCGACTTATGCTGTAGTTCTTTTTATTTTCTACAATAATGCCGAAGACACCTAATCGTTATTTATTTCCAGTAACGAGTAAAATGCAAAGAACATCTTTTCCGCTCAATGCTGAGTTGTGTCACTTTTGCCTAGGGGCTAACCACGGTTTTAAAGATAACCAATAATGACCGACTTTAACATTTTTTATCATTTAAACAAATAAATTCCGATATGATCACATTTTGGTCGATTTTGCCCGATTTTTGCAGATATTTTTTCGCTTTAACGAATGCATACTGTTCTGGAAGCGGGTTTTGGCGGATCCTCAGGATCGTTTAGAACTGCTCCCGATTCTGGAAGTGGGTTTTGGTGGATCTTCAGGATGGACCACTGGGTTTGACAATGCCCTAGCCCATCCTGAGGATACACTTCCAGAACCGGGGGCAGTACTAAACGATCCTGAGGATCCACCAAAACCCACTTCCAGCATTTTTGAATCGGTAATGACGTCAGCACATTAAACGTTTATAGTCGATATTAAACGATAAAATTCAATATATACAGATTTTTTCAATTTTTTACGGATGTCATTAAAATTGGGCGATAAAAACAGATTTTGTCAATGAAAAATCCGTGGTTAGCCCCTAGACTTTTGCTCGCAAATTTATTTGTCTCTTTTTTGTTCTAAGGTTTTTTTTCCGTCTCAGCTATGGATAAAGAGCTCATAAGTTGTTCTTTTTTTTCTATGGGTCAATTGATTTGCGATTATACCTCCCATCCCTGTTGTGTGTCCATATATTCCATTTTTGTGGCAGTTGGTTTAGCTATTGACAAAAGGTGGCACAATCACCTTGGATTCACACCATATGTTCCCACAGTTATGGGGAGCTTGCATTTGAATATATGTGATACCACTATGAATGCGATGTGATCCTTATTAATTATTGAAAATATTGCAAATGGTACACAGCGAATGCATTGAACAAATAGCGACAATTGAGCGTGGCTATTATTTGTAATTAATTTTAATTCGTTTAATCGTTTCCCATTTTTGTATGAACTACAGCGACAAATTGTTTCAATATAGAAATAATTCAGAAGTGAAAAAAAATCCTTACAGAACAAGTGTTGCCCATATTCTTTTTTTGAATAACACACAATCATTTTAAATTCGATATAGCATTGCAAATAAGTCAACAACGACGATCAAGGATCGACATTTTTAATTAAATGGCATTTAATGCCAAACGTTTTTGATTTTTTTTTCGTATAATGTTCAAACATCTTTATTATTACTTTTCCACACGACCATGTCGTGTAAGAAAAGTATTGCCATCACCTTGGATTTTTTGATCCATTAAAAATCAGTTTTTTTTTTCTCGATTTTGAACGCCGAAAATCGCGAAATCTAGCGCTATTTATGGGTCGTAAGGTAGGTGCGTGGTACACGATAATTTTTTTTTCCTATGTCACAATGTAAAGGAATCAGAGTATTGAAATTTCTCTGATATTTAAGTCCGGTTAAAATATGAATCTTTTCTAATTTTAATGCATGGGGCAAAAAGTTATAGTTTGTTTAAAATGTAAAATTCTTTAAAATGAGAGTCATACATATTGAAATGCATAATCTTCTAGATTCTTTGTTTTTAATTTTCATTTAGAATCATATTTTTGGGAGTGTAGAAAAGATTACCTTACGGAAGTAAGGCACCGTTATTTTTTTGCATCTATTCTCTTCATGCCTTCCTCTGGCTCAGTACCTAGGGGGAAATATCGATTTAAAATACCTCGCAAATGCTCACAAATATGTGGCATATTTGCAAATATATTCGAGTGAATGGCATGTATTTTCAACAGAGGGCGCAAATGGCGTTGAAGACAATATCGCAAATATGACAAATATTCTGTAAATAAATTGTTGTTTGCCATGCAAATAATTCTTCAAAGAACGAGGCATAAATTATTGAGATTCAAGGGTTACTCAAATCTTGGTCCCAAATCGAACTTTCCACAAACTAAATCTTTTTTCTATTGTTTCTAGGGTCCATAAAATTGTGAAAAAAATGTAGAATTCAAATCAGTCATCCGATTCTTGATGTTTTCAACAACTTATTTGACAACAGCAGTGTTTTTGTTTTTGTACACACCAAAATTTCGGAGGGGAATGAGTAATCTAGATACAGTGCGAAATATCTTGTATTGAACGAGTTGCTGTGTGCAAAATTTACAATACATACAACTGCACATGCTTGGTGACCAGTGCGTGTCTATGTATTGGCACATATACGAATAGTAGCCACTTGAGCGTTCGCATAAGCAATAACACATTTTCCCCAAAAATTAGTGTGAATTCATCCAAAAACAGTTGAAATCGCTATTTCGCACTGTAACTAGATTAGTCATTCTCCTCCAAAAACTTACAGTGTAGGGGGGGAAATGCTCCAAAACTGGTCCAAACTGTTTTATTAATTGTAGTAGCCCAGAATTAATTGTAGTGGCCTAAAAATAATTGTAGAAGCACCATATTTTTAGGCCACTATAATTAGTTCTGGGCTACTACAATTAATAAATCAGTTTGGACCAGTTTTTAAGCATTTTCCCCCCTACAAAAACAAAAACACTGCTGTTGTCAAATAAGTTGTTGAAAACATCAAGAATCGGACGAATGATTTGAATTCTAAATTTTTTCTACAATTTTATGAACCCTAGAAACAATAGAAAAAAGATTTAGTTTGTGGAAAGTTCGATTTGGGACCAAGATTTGAATATTACCGATTTTGGACCAATTTTCATGACTCGTCCCTTTATCGAACGAACAGGCAGACATATTTGAAAACAGACAATTGATTTGAATTCTACAATTTATCTACAATTTTTTGAAACCATTCTCAATTCAAAAAAACATTTGATTCATGGAAAATGCGTTTTTTGACCAAGATTTGAGTAACCCCATTTTGGAGCGGTTTTTCTATAGCCGATTACTCAAAAAAAATGGTTCCTACATAAAAAAAAGTAAATACACTACATTAAACTACATAAAATCTACAATTGAAATCGCCCTAACCGAAGTCATTTCGGCAAATCTACCAAGATTTGAATATTCATCTTATGGATCCGGATGGTCGTGTAACGCGTAAAGCAAACAGCATCGAAGTGGAAATCAAACAATAGACAGACATCAAGGAAGAACCGTCGGATTGCAGTGAGTTTGATTGGGTCACACGTTCGGATCAAAGATTTGGGAGAGCTACGATCAACCAACGTTGAATTGGTGGGAGAGTCTGTTTGGTCGGTCAAATCCATGTATAATGAAACAAATTGGCCATCGTTAAAACGTGTAGATTATTTCGATGCTTTATAAACATGAACTTAATAAGAACTAGCAATTTTGATTGAGATTATGGAAACGGATTCAATTTGTAAATCAAAGTAAATATCAAAATGTAGAAGATTCTTTCAGAATGACGATTCGATAGCTTTTGAGTTTCATCACACTGATTGGATACTAATGAAGAATCATTTCTCAAATAAAACACCACATTGATTGGAATATTTGGAGAGTTTCATTTTATTTGCCCGTTGCTCTGAAGGTAATTCCCCACTGACATGAAGATAGCAGTGTGTCGATTATTTTAAATTCGAAATTTTATTAAATCTTATGTTTTTCTTCCTACAAATTAATTTATTTTCGATTAAAATCGTTGTGCTTTGGAATATTTTGATCAATGTTGGAATTTATACCGAAATGAAGCTAGAAGTTCGGTGTTTGTTGTCGTCTTCATGGAATAGTTTTGATTCAAATGATACTACTGGACCGTAGAATACTGTAATGCCTCCTTATTTCGTTGAACGATGACGCCTTTTCATATGAATGATTGGTTGTATGTATCTTGAAAACTTTGCAAATGTAACACTGATGCTGACGACGGCCACAGATCTCCTCGTGTGCTGTTTTATCCTCTTCCATTGTGAATCCCCGGCGACACTTGAAACATCTGAATGGGAATTGATCGCGATGGGTGGCTAAATGTTGATTGAGATGGCCCTTTTGGATGAATTTCTTCCCGCATATTTTACATCGAAATTGATGTTCGCCGGTGTGTTTTGCGTGCATGTGGCTCTTCAGATTGGAGTTGGCAAAACATTCGTATCCGCAGAGATAACATTCGAATCGACGTCGTTTGCAGCGCTTTTCATGCGATTGCCTGGCCTCACCGCTGGCAAATGGTTGGCCACATTTCAGACAAGAAAGGGGAAGATCATCAGAGTGAGTTCGCAAGTGACCATTCAAATGATGTTTCCGTGCAAATGATTTGGTACAAACCAAACATTCGAATTGCTTTTCTCCGCTGTGGATTTTCTTGTGCAGATTCAAGGTGCTTTTTTGTGCAAAACTTTTTGAACATTCATCGCATTTGTACGGCTTGTCGCCTGTGTGAATACGAATGTGTACGGTGAGATTCCCTTTTTTCGGTGTAACATAACCACAAACACGACATTTGTGCTCCGTTCGTTTGCTTGCTGCCTTATTCCTTGGAATCTTTCGATTGTTTTGCTTTCTTGATCTATCGTGTTTCTTGGCTTTATTGTCCGAATTTATTCTCTTGCGACTGGCGTTTGATTGGACCGCTGGTTCAACATCTGGATCGTCATGACTAGCTGGTTCTTCTTCTTCTGACCCCGATTCCGCTGAAGAGCCTTTTTCTGGCCTTTCTTCTTCACACTTCACATCCTCTTTCACACCATTCAAGTCAAAGTCGAGATCAGAATCCCATTCAGACTCTTCCACCAATTCGATGTTAGATGTCGCAGTCTCTGCATCTGCTGCAAATCTTTCATTCCATCGTGTCACCAAACCAAGTTCACTGCCATCCAAAGGTTCTTCTTTGATGCTGGGCTCTTGTTTGATTTCCACTTCGATGTTGTTTGGTTTACGCTTTACACGACCATCCGATGTACCTTCGCCTGGATCCATATCCATAACTAATGCCAATCTGTCAAACAACCGAAGAAAATGTGATAAAGAAATGGGATTTGACAGTTCAGAACATCTTTTTATTGGTAGAACTAAATATGCATTAAAAATATAAAAAAAACTTAAATCGCTGTGTTGTTTTTTCGTAGAACATCATCAAAGAAACCACAACAACTGGTGATAAATAGCAAATAGTGAGTAAAGCTAATCGAATATTTCCAACCAAAATGAAAATGTTTACGAAGAAGGAACTTCGGACTTTGTACAAAAATTGAATGACACAATCGCATCGGAAGTAATGAAATTGTCTGCTTACATTGAATGTGACAATAAAACTCTTTTTAATTGAAATGGATTCAATGAAGAATCTTCTTTTGTTATCGAAAAATCCTGAGTTTAAAATTGCAAACAAATATTTTGAACACTTACTTTGGGTTTTTTCGTTCGCCAATTGAAATGAGTACGTGATGTCGTTTTCCTTTGAATGACCGACACAAAGTGCTGCGTACGTCGATTGAGTATGGCGTGATCGAACGCAGTTTGTGTGTATAAGTGAGACTGTGTGGCTTACTATATGAAAGTGACAGCTTCCAATTCGCTTCGTTCCAAATGTTCAACTGTCATTCCGACTGGAATTCATGTTTGCAATTCACATTTTGAAACAGAGTTCGTCATTCTTCTTCGATTAAGCATTCCAAACAGATTTCTAGTGAATTGAGCAATTTATTTATGATTTAAAGCTGTTTACGTTGTTTTGATTTTTATTTTTTTAACCATTGAACGATTTTGAATTGAATTTCACATAAATGTTGGAAAAGTCAAATGATGACAGCAATGGAATGAAATGGGACAGAACCTAATGTCAGTCACGTTCATTGCATAGCGTACACGCACACAACGAAATATCTCGCCACATTTAGTTGACGTTCAACTTCGGTGTCAATTGATGCGCACTGGGAACTAAATACAATTTGTGTTATACGAGCATCAACAGTCTGACGACTTTGTCGTCAAATCAGGAGTTCCACAGGGAAGTCACTTAGGACCGACACTGTTTCTGCTGTTCATTAATGATATAGCGAGAACGCTTGGTCCTGAAGTTTTTGTTTCACTATTTGCTGATGATCTCAAAATCGCAACGATTATAAATTCACCGGGTGACATCCATAAACTTCAGTCGGCAATAGACAAACTCAAAATATGGTGTATTGAAAACGATCTACACCTCAACCTTGATAAATGTGCAATCATGTCAATCTCAAATCGTCAGGCTGCGAACATCGTAATTGGTAAATACTTTTATGGTGCCCATGAATTTCGTAGAGTCAACGAACGGAGGGATTTCGGCTCATAATTGAATAATAATTTTACTCATCGACTCAAAATTGAACTTTATCGAACACATTAACGCCATCTTTGCTAAAGCAGCGTCAACTCTGGGTTTTATCAAGCGATTTTGCTACGACTTCAGATATATTTGCACACTCAAGTCACTCTACTATGCTTTGGTTCAATCGGTACTGGAGTATTGCAGTGTGGTTTGGCTCCCGTTCTATGAATGCCACAAAGGAAAAATTGAAAGTATTCTCATTCAATTTACAATGTTTGCGTTGAGAGAATATCAAAATGCAGCGAACAACTACACGATTTCGAGCTACGATCAACGGCTGTCAAAACTTGAAATGCAATCGTTACAAAGATGACGCATCAACGCTTCGATGATCCTCTTCGACGATCTCATCAATGACATTATTCATTGCCTGCGCCTTAAAAACCTCATCACCCAAAATACAAATGCAAGGAATACGCGAATTTCAGATTTATTTAAACTTGTCGACCAGCGACTGAGCATCACGAAAACTGCTCCTATCAACCAAATGTCTTTATACTCAAACTTGATTAAACCATTGTTTCAACAATCGTCTTCACGCAACAACCTTAAATCATTACTCAAAAAACTTATGATAATGTCTTCAGGCTAAAGTCATTGGCTAATACCTACAGCACGCATCTTTTTCCAAACCAAATGTGATTCACGCTATAAGCAGAAAAATGTATATTATCAACTAGTTAATTGTGTTGCTTTTTTTTTAATCAAATTTAATCGGCTATGCAGAATCAGCTCTATTTATTTTTTTTTTCAATCATAAGAATTGAATAAAAACAGCCAGTCTTCGGCGGTGTATTATTATTATATTATATAAAACCTCTTTTGGTCGGTCAATTGTGAGAGAATTTAGCAAGCAGACATTCTCATTCACATTTTGGACAAACAGTCGGACACACGATATTTGTAAGTAATAAAATGTTTTCAACAGCACTGCCATTAATTTTAATGCAAAGAGTTTTAATTAAAACAATGGATGTTTCAACGAATGTATCTCTGCAACACACACATTGTACGTGTTTGTGCCATTCAGTCATGACATTGACGTTGTTCTACTTTTCTTTGCTTTTACATTTGACTTTCCCTTGCAATTTTCGTCTTCAGTAAACATGTTCCAAATAACAAATAACAAATAACAAATCACTTATCAGATTTTATTTCTTCTTCAAATTTTTCAATTATTCGACAGGTTGGCATTGGTTATGGATATGGATCCAGGCGAATATCAAAATGTAGAAGATTCTTTCGAAATTTTATTAAATCCAATGTTTTTCTTCCTACAAATGATGAAATTAAATTATTTTCGATTAAAATCGTTGTGCTTCTGGATATTTTGATCAATGTTGGAATTTATACCGAAATGAAGCTAGAAGTTCGGTGTTTGTTGTCGTCTTCATGGAATAGTTTTGATTCAAATGATACTACTGGACCGTAGAATACTGTAATGCCTCCTTATTTCGTTGAACGATGACGCCTTTTCATATGAATAATGGCGTACAAAACGCGCCTTGCACGATTTGCAATGGAACGGCTTTTTGCCCGTGTGATTTGCTCGCACGTGATTTCGTAGATTGGTTGTATGTATCTTGAAAACTTTGCAAATGTAACACTGATGCTGACGACGCCGGCAGATTTTCTCATGAGCTGTTTTATCCTCGGCGACACTTGATGCATCGGAATGGGAAGTGATCACGATGGACGGCCAAATGTCTATTGAAGCTATCATTCTGGTTGAATATCTTTCCACATATTTCACATTGGAATCGATGTTCGCCGGTGTGTTTTGCTTGCATGTGGCGTTTCAGGTGGTCTTTGCCAAAACATTTGAATTTGCAGGCATAACATTCGAATCGAGGTTGATCGCAGCGCTTTTCATGCGATTGTTTGGCCTCATCTTCGAAAAATCGTTGGCCACATTTCAGACAAGAAAGTGGAAGCTCATCAATGTGAGTTCGCAAGTGACGATTTGAATGGTTCTTTTGGACAAATGATTTGGAACAAACGGGGCATTCGAATTGCTTTTCTCCGCTGTGGGTTTTCTTGTGTTGAATCATGTTGCTTTTGCATGCGAAACTTTTCGAACAATCTTCGCATTTGTGAGGCTTGTCGCCTGTGTGAATGCGAATGTGTCTGGTGAGATTCCCTTTCTGCGATGCAACATAACCACACACGTGACACTGGTGCTCCGTTCGTTTCTTTGGCGCCTTATTCCTCGGAATATTTCGTTTTTTTTGCTTTCTCGATCCATCCTGTCTCTTTCCCTTTGCGCCCGAATTCAGTCCCTTGCAAGTGACGTTTGCTTCACCACGAGCATTTGCCTCATTTCCATACGATTCTGAATCCGCTGAAAAGCCTTTCCCTTTTTCTGGCTTCTCTTCTTCACACTTCACCTCCTCTTTCACACCATCCAAATGAAAGTGGCGATCAGAATCCGATTCAGACTCGTCCACTGATTCGATGTGCGATGCCGCAGTCTCTGCATCTTCCAATCTTTCATTCAATCGTGCTACCAAACCAAATTCACTGCCATGCGATGGTTCCTCCTTAATGTCTGGCTCTTGTTTGATTTCCACTTCAGAACTGTTTCGTTTACGTTTCACACGACCATCCGAAGTACCTTCGCCTGGATCCATATCCATAGCCAATGCCAATCTGTCGAACAATCAAAGAAAATGTGATAGAGAAGTGAGATTTGGCAGTTCTGAAGTTCATTTTATTGGAAGAACTAAATGTGCATTGGGAATATATAAAGAAAAAAACTAAACTTGAGAATGGAAAACACACAACTATCGTCTCACTGTACGACAATGGCTACCGAAATGTCAAGCAAAATGGTTGCTGTGTTGTACTTTCGTAGAACATTATCGAAGAAACCAGAACAACTGGTGATAAATGGCAAATAGTGAAGGATTTCAGCCAATCGAGTATTTCCAACCAAAATGAAATTGTCTGACATTGAATGTGAGAATAAAACACTTTCTAATGAAAATCTATTCAATGAATATTTCATTGAAGATTTCTCTTTTTTTCTGCAAAAATACTGACTTTGAGATTGCAAAGAGATGTTTCGAGCACTTACTTTGGGTTTTTTCTTTTGTTTGCCAATTGAAATGAGTACGTGTTGTTGTGTGTTTCTCCTTTGAATGACCGACACAAGTGCTGTGTTCGTCGATTGAGTGTAGCAAGATCGAATGCTGTTTGTATGTAGAGGTGAGTCTGTGTTGCTCACTAAGAAGGTGACAGCTTCCAATTCGATTTAATTCGCTTCGTTCCAAATGTTCAACTGTCATTCCGACTGGAATTCAAGTTTGCAATCCACATTTCGAAACAAAGTTCACATAAGGAGGATTTATGATGATCCCAAATGGATTTCTACTAAGTTGAGATATTTATTCATGATTTGGAGCTGTTTTCATTTGTTGTGATTTTCATTTCTTGCCAGTGAACAAATAATTTCTTAAATAATACCGCTTAAAATAGCGAAATGCAATTGTATTGGAATGTAGTGGAAAAGGGGCCCCAGATGTCAATGTTCGTTCAGTGAGACAAACACATACACTGACACAAATAATGAAATATCACGCCACTTTCAGTTGACGTTTAGCTGTTGACGTTAAGATGTTAATTGGTGCGCAGTAGAAACGAAAACCACTTTCGGTCGGTCATTCTCGGGAGAAATTGGCAAACAGACAGTTTTGTTCACATTTGGCACGAAAAGTAGGATACACGAAATTTGTAACTATTAAAATTTGTTGAGCATTAATGACATGAAGTTACTTCACTACAACAATTTGATTTCCCTTCGCTTATGTCTTGTGCAATTGTTTTTTTCTATTACTATTGATTATTGCATTCTTCACCAAAAATGTTCGCAATTAAAAGAAAAAAACATCAAAACTGTCCGATTAAATTTTTGTTGCGTCGGTTTTTTCATTTTTTCCTTTCGAAAGACTGGCATTGGTTATGGATATGGATCCAGGTGAAGGTACTTCGGATGGTCGTGTAAGGCGTAAAGCAAACAAAATCGAAGTGGAAATCAAACAAGAGCCAGACATCAAGGAGGAACCATCGGAAGGCAATGAATTTGGTTTGGTGACAGGATGGAATGAAAGATTTGCATCAGACGCAACGACTGCGACATCGAACGTTGAATTGGTGGACGAGTCAGAGAATGACTTTGATTCAAATGATGTGAAAGAGGAAGTAAAGTGTGAAGAAGAGAAGCCAGATAAAAGGAAAGATTCATCAGCTAATCCAGAGTCGAGTGAAAATGTTTCAAATGCTCGTGGTGATCAAAATGATGAGCCAGTGGTCGAACCAAATGTCAATTGCAAGGGACTAAATTCGGGCGTAAAGGAAAAGAGACGCGATGGTTCAAGAAAACAGACCAAACGAACGATTCCAAGGAATAAGGCGGCGAAGAAACGAAAGGAGCACAAGTGTCATGTGTGCGGTTATGTTGCATCGCTAAAAGGGAATCTCACCAGACACATTCGCATTCACACAGGCGAAAGGCCATACAAATGTAATGAATGTTCGAAAAGCTTCGCACAAAAAAGTGACTTGATTCGGCACAAGAAAACCCACAGCGGAGAAAAGCAATTCGAATGTTTGGTTTGTTCCAAATCATTTGCACGGAAACAAAATTTGAATGTTCACCTGCGAACTCACTTTGATGAGCTTCCTTACTCTTGTCTGAAATGTGGCCAACGATTTGCCGGAGAAGAGGCCAAACAATTGCATGAATATCGATGCAAACGACGTCGATACGAATGTTTTCTCTGCGACAACAATTGTTTTGCCAAACACTGTTTGAAAGACCACATGCAAGCAAAACACACCGGCGAATATCGATTCCAATGTGAAATATGTGGGAAGAAATTCATCTACAGGAATCATTTCAGTCAACATTTGGCTATCCATAGCGATCAATTCCCATTCGGATGCAGCAAGTGTCGCCGAGGGTTCACGATAGAAGATGACAAGATTGCACATGAAAATTTCTGCCGTTGTCGTCAGTATCAATGTTACATTTGCGAAGCTTTCAATCAGCGGAAAGGCCATCTACGAAATCACATGCGTGTTCATCACACAGGTGAAAAGCCGTTCCATTGCAAGTGGTGCGACAAGTGTTTTGTTCAGAAGCAGGATGCCGAAAAGCACATGAAACGTATTCACCGTTCGAAAAAATAATACTCAGGACGATAGCAACTGTTCTATTCCTGTTGAATAAACTCTTTCTTTTCCTTCTAATAATTGAATTTTTTTACTTCATCCGTTGATTAAGACTTTGAGAAGCCAATATAATTGTTCTTTCAATAGACTGATTCAATAAAGATCTGAAATGAAATTTTTTGTAGAAGATTATTTTGTGTTCGCCATGGAACTGAAGCTCATGAGCTTCATTCGCTCATTTGTTTTGAAACAATCGTATTTTTCGACACTAAAACCATATAAACATATGTAAAATGAAAGTACAAATCGATTTTACGTCAAAAATTGGGTGGATATAGACCCATAGTAGGTCACTGTACGGTGGTTTTCTATTCCATAAATGTGATTTTGTATCAATCTTTCAACCGATCGATAGTTTTATGAAGAAATGTCGATTTGACGAGAAAATGGTAGTTGTCGAAGACAAAAATGTCGTAAGGAGCCATTTTCGACCACTGACAAAAAATTTGAAAAAACATTTTTTTTCCACTGAATCCACCAACTTATCAAAATGAAATATAAGGTTTATCTGGGCTCGACAGCAAATAAAATCTGACCTTTATGCGTTGAACCGTACATTTTTTCGTTACTACAGTGTAACGAGTCTGCCGAACGAAAAAAATACGCAAAAGATTTGAAATTTGGAAGCTCAGAGTTTGGTTTTATGGACAGTGTTTGTGTTTCAAAATTACCAGAGAGGATTTTGAGCTGACATTAACAGCACTAACTAACGTCAGCTGCTGATATCAGCTGCTGACGCGTTTGCGTTGCGTTGTTTGAACGCTTTTGCAGTATAAAATTGATTGAACGATCCAATGTTATGATTGCTTACACTTTCGTTTTTATACTGCAAATGCGGTAAAATAACGCAACACATACTCGTCAGCAGCTGACGTTAGTTAGTGCTGCTAACGTCGGCTCAAAACACGCTCTTAAAATTAAACTGACTCAAATCCGCATTTTAGGTGAATTTTCATAGAACTAAGTGTAAATGTGTATTGGAAATATTACTTTTCCGTACACAACGTGTCGAAAACTTTTTTCGCACGATAACTCAAAAAATAATTGAGATAATCAAAATCTGAAAATGCCAAAAGTTTTGTATTCGAAGATGATTTAGTTCGAAGATGAGTTATTTTCGATTTGATCCTGGGGTATTTCTTAGGGCAAGAAAAATCTCAAAAAATTGGCTCTTTTGTATGGGAGGTACCTGTAAATCGACTCCGATTGGCTTCAAACTTTCTGAGATTTCATTTTTTGGGAGAAAAATAAGATTCTGAAAGTGTGGAACCAATCGGAATCGATTTACGGGTACCACCCATACAAAAATTTTAAAATTTTGACTAAAATTACCGATTTTTGGACAATTTTGTATGGGAGGTACCCGTTAATCGATTCTGATTGGCATCAAACTTTCTGAGGTTTCATTTTTTGGAAAAAAAAATAAGATTCTGAAAGTTTCATGTTGATCGCATTTGCAGAAGTTTGATTTTTTGTCGAAATTTTCTTGGAAAAAATTGAGGGCCGAAAACCAAACTTCTGCAGATGCGATCAAGATGAAACTTTCGGAATCTTATTTTTTCTCCAAAAAATGAAACCTCAGAAAGTTTAAAGCCAATGAGAATCGGTTTACGGGTACCTCTCATACAAAATTGTCGAAGTTTTAGTTAAAGTGACCGATTTTTCACTTTATTTTTATTATCACAGCCGGCGACAGCAGGCGCGAGTGACGAAAGCATCTCTGTGCTGAAAGTCGAACTCGCCTATATATACACGCAATTTCGAACTTTTTTCCTAAGAGGCCATCTGGTATGAATGAAGTATCGCTAGAAAGCCCCTGGCTCATAGGCCCAGAAAATGCATTCAAATTTGGGAATCGACCAACCGCCTCCATAGAAATAGCCACTTGAAAATTATGTACAATTATCAGTTTTTCCCATTTACCGGGTGTTGAACGCGGCCCGTTCATCTTGAAACATGTTTTTTCTGAGTCTACTCGTCGAGACCTTTCCAACAAGCCCAAGAACGTCGAAATTGGACCATCCGTTCATGAGTTATAACGATTTAAAAAATTTCTTTGGCGTCTCCACCAATTATTCTGAGATAATATTTTTTCTGTCCGTCCGTCCGTCTGTCCGTAGTTTTTGCCTGATCTTTTTTAAACTTTCAGGCATTAAAGTATAACAAAAACTAAGACTTTTTTGTTTCGCCATTTTTTGATTTGGCCGCCATCTTGGCCTTGGCCGGCCTTTGAAAATTCAAAATATGGCCTTCTTTCAAATGATCACTGTGCCTAACCCAGTCAACCGATTTCCAACTTTTGGGAATCGTTGGAAAGGTCTTGAGGCCAGCTATCAAATGACATCTATTTTAATTTGAAAAAATTGAGTCGGAATGGTCCTATGGGTAGAAACCCAAAAAAATGGTCACCTGGCCTTGCATAAATCGGCCATTTTCTCGAAAACGGCTCCGACGATTTTTTTAAAAATTCTCTGGAATTTAGCCCCAAGTTAGAGCTAAAATTTGACATATAGCTTATATCTGGGAAAACTCTGTTTTTCGAGATATAGTCATTAGAAGTTGGAAAAAACATAAAAAATCGACAAAAATCAACTAAAACTCTTTTTTGTTGCCGTTAACAATGGCAAAATCATAACCAAAGTGTTTTTGCGTTCAGTTGAATAAAATTCCTTCAGATACCAGACCCTCACCAAGTCTTTTTATCCCACGCAATCAACAAAAAACACAAAAAAGTACTTTTCATGAAAAAATCAAAATAAAAAAAAATCATCATGAAAAAACTTAACATGTGATAGTTTCTTAATATAAAAGCGATATGTAATTTCATCAAAACAAAATGTAATTTCTTCTGTCTGTCCAAAACCAAATTTTATTTAACGAAAAAAAAATTTAAATTTTTTTTCCTCCGGTGTGCGACTCGAACTCGAGTCCACACGCTCATGAGTCTGCTTTCCCACCTACGCGCTGATTTTGCTTTATTCAAAAAGGCGACAATGCTGGTTTTTAACTACAACATTTCATGTTTTATTTTCTTTGGCTCAATACGCACCACTTTGTGTTTGTTAAGGGTTAGTTGGTTTTTTTGAGAAAAAATTTTCCGGGTACAAAACAACTGATATCAAATAAAAAAACTTCTTTCGAAGTAATTCCTCGTGACGAAAGCGAACACAAAACAGCTGATATCAATTTTAAAAAATCATTTCGGAGCGATTTGGATTTGATTTTTTTGCATTCTTCCAACTAATTTCAGAATCGCACCGTAATGATTTTTTTAAATTGATATCAGCTGTTTTGTGTTCGCTTTCGTCACGAGGAATTACTTCGAAAGAAGTTTTTTTATTTGATTATATTTTCACTGCCTTTATTTCAAGAAAATTCACAAAAAATAACCAAAAGTACCTACGGACAACGCAGGCCAACGGTACGGAAAAGTTCGGGATTACCAATGTAATTCTTTTTAAATTCTGTTGATTCTATCTGCGTTAAAAGAACGTATGTTGGCGTACCGTCTAGCCTCCGAGGTTTTTCACGGTTTCCGCGTAACTGATAAACGATAACAACATGGTGTCTTCGAAAAAGTTGTAGTACTCGAAGTCTTCTATAACATTACTGAAGACAGTCATCTCTTATCTCTTGCGCAAATCGCGCACATAGAAAAGCCAATTTAATATAGAACTTTTTTTTTCTCATCATTTTTTGCGCTTTTCGCGGAACTGATAAGAGATCATAGTGGCGAAGCGTTACGACTACGCGTACCACTACGAACCACTACGTTTAGGGAATTAGTGAACGTAGTACTACGCGTACTCGTAACGCTTCGCCACTAGGTAAGAGATAAGAGATAACTCTTCAGCAATGTTATAGAAGACCTTGAGTACTACAAATTTGCTGAAGACACCAAGTTGTTATCTCTTATCAGTTCCGCGGAAACCGTGCAAAACCGCAACGACTCGCTAAAAACGAACATACATTCGAACCATTATTAGTCGCAATGAAACAAACTTCTCTTTATTGTTACGAAGTTGGACAAACTTGCGTTCTTTTACATCTCACCAATAGATATCATATTGAACAACTAAATTTGGACTAAAAAAGCACAGTTGCCGTCACACTTCACGAAAGATGCCAACTAAATGTCAAGGAAAGTGGTCGATGTATTGTTTTTGTTTCGAGCAAAATTTTCATTGCAACCAGAACAACTGGTGATGCATTGCAAATAGGGAATGAATTTGGCCAAACGGTTAATACCAATCGGTATGACAATTTTCGAAGGGCAATCAAGGAGCTTTGAATTCTCTACAAAGAATTGAATGATGCAGTTATAGTGGAAACAATGAAATTCACTGACTTTATTGAATATCAAGCTGTGCACGAAAATAAATCTTTTTCCAATGAAAATCGATTCAATGAAAAAAAGAAAAACAAGTGGAATAGTACACTCCGTTTCTTCTTGAATTCTATGTTTAGAATAGCCAAAACATATTTCAAATATATATTTTGAACGATTGCTTTGATTCTTATGTTCGTCGATGGAAACGGGTACGTGTTGTTGAGTGTTTCTCCTTTAAATGACCGACACAAAATAGTTGAGTAGCAATGAGTGCTACGTACGTCGATTGAGTGTGGCGTGATAGAATGATGTTTCTGTATGGGTGAGACTGTGTAGCCTACTACGAAGGAGACAGCTTCCAATTCCCAAATGTCCAAATTTCATTCCGACTGGAATCCAAGTTTGCAATCCACTTTTCGAAACGGAGTTCGTCATCAGAAGGATTTTCGACGATTCCAAATGGATTTACACTTATAGCTGTGCTCACGATTTTTTTTTATCAAGATATCGTAATAAACTAAAAATATCGTTCGATATCGTTATTATGATGGAATCTTAATAACGCTATCAACTTTTTATCAGGATATTAACTATATTCAAATAATAACGTTATCGGATGAATCTTAATAATATCGTTGGGAAGTTATCAAGATCGAATCCTGATAATTTATCAACATTCAAT